CAAAAAAAAAAAAAAAAAAAAAAAAAAAAAAAAAAAAAGACTAGCAAGAGGGCAAGCACAGAACAACAGAAATTCACTATTACCAGGAAAAAAACAAGTCTATTATACACTATTGATACTACCTTTACATACAGAGCATACTGCAAAAATGATTCTTCTCTGAATGTGAAATTTGGAAAATTTGGAAAAGAACTAATAACTACTCTTTAGCAGCTTTTCTCATTCCAGAATTCCAAATACTAAAGACCTACTTTTATAACTTTTGATTTGAGATGTAGACACATAAAACTTAGATGTCACAGGAGTACGTTATAGAAATGAAAGGTGAATGTCTTACCTCTGAATTCAAGTCCCCGCAGTTGGAAGGTAACCAGCCCATTGCCTATCTCTATAAGGTGTACTAACGCATTGAGGTAGTCAGAGGCAAGAATGAAACAGTCCCCTGTACTGTAGTTTCCCCACCGTCCTAGGTGCAAATCACCACAAAGACTGTGTTGTAGGGATCTGGTTAAATGTTCATAAAAGATGGAATTCAGATTGTTGTCATCTGATCCTATAAGAAGGGATTAAAAAAATGTTAACTTTACCTTAAGTACCCTTTATAACAACAAACAAGATTGTTAAAAGTATTAAAACTAATTTCCAGTTAGGATTGTATCTATAGTTCTTTGACAAGGAAGATAATATACCCTTAGAAGGGTACCCTGTACCCTTATAATACAGATACCCTTAGGATTTCTATATAAAAATGAAATATAGGATAATGGGGAAAAAAATTTCAAATTAGAGTTAGATGTAACGTAACCTCTCTGAGTCTCTGGTCCCCAACCATAAAATGTGGGAACTGGATTAGGTGAAATCTAAGGTCTTTTCCACCTCTTTAACAGTCATGATCAAAATTTTCTATCACTGTTCAACTAATTATGCCTTATAATTAAAACCATGCAAAGGAAATGAAAAACATAAAAGAAATTCAAAACTAGAACAAAAAGACATACTGGTAAAGGAAGTGGGTTAAGTAATACAAGATTTGAACAAATGAGATAGTCCAAAACAAAGAGAAGTTGGTCAAAAAAACTCTGTATACTGAGATGCCTAATATTAGCTAAACAGAAATAAACTGTATACACAGAAACAGCAGTTAAGAACCACCTACAAATTTTAGTCATCCTTTAAGAAAAAAAATTAGGATAAAACATCACCCAATAAATTAGAAAACCATCTTTAGAAGTAACCCAGCCAAAGCAATAATCTGTAAATGGGTGCCCAAAGCACAGAACTGAAGAATGGCAAAACATACTAAACTTAATAATTACTTTAAACTCAGCCTAACTAAATAATAAAATAAAAGGGAAACCCTAGGCTCAAGCTTCAATAAAATAGTTGTTATCTAATGCTGTCTGCCCATTACGGAAGTGTGCATATTAATTCAGGACATGGTCTTTGTGATATGCATCATCAGCATCATAATTCCAAGCCCCCTACAAGGACATGCCAGAGCTGAGATGGCTGTTATATCTACCAGAACATGATAATGACAGTCATTAATATCAAATAACTAGTCCTCCTTAATCAAATTTATAATTATAAGTCAATCTGATTACTATAATTTAGTTTCTCAGGCAGAGCATTTGAAGTAATCTGCGAGTTAAATGAATACAAATCTTCCAGTGTATTGGGAGTCATATTTCTTTAGTAAATTAATACACTGATATTCTGGTTGATACATTAATCTTTTATGGGTGGGGCAGTGAGATTCACCCTCTCTGTGCCAGATTACTAATAGGTAGGCCGACAAAAAGATGTTTCCCAAAGGACAAAACTAAGAACCAAACTTTAGATAATGGTAACACGAAGCCTTATCTTGAGTGGCTATTTGGGTCCTCTAGATGACAGCTCTGTATGTAATAAACTTAATGAAATTAACACTTATCTAACCATTTGGCGAAGCAGGGAAGCAAACATAATAATAAGTTCAGACTGAATACTCTTCAATACACCTCATCAGTTTTACTTTTACTGTGCTCTACTTTTTTAACCTATGTAAGAACAATCTTTCAGTGGAATTTCTTATTCTTATCAGCATTCTTAAAATGCATTTTATAAAAGATGGGTATATAAATTTTAGATATTCTAACTCACGTATACTTTGCTAAAGTAAAACAAAATAAAGTGAAGGATATTTAGTTTTTCAGAAATGCCCTTTGGATTCCATAGAGGATTCCCAATAAGTCGGGAGTGAAATATGTATATAATGAATTCCTTAGACTTGCTTCTTTATTCACAAATAGGGCTATTACCTGGATTTCTATCAAGCTGGGAAGCCAATCTGGTATTTGAATGATCCACTCGTTTTGTGCTAAAAAAGGCAAAATGAAACATCTTTAGTAAGCTTTTTTATATTAAAAAAGTCTAACAATTAAAAGGGAGAAAACTATACAATAAATAAGAAATAAATATTATCGCTTTATAAAAATAAGAAAAATCTATGCATAACATATTAATAAAGCTCTTTGATACAACAATTTTAGGGGTAAGGATTTATTTTTTACTCTTCCACCTCCATTATACATAAAGACAAGTTTTTTCTTAACTGATGTTTCACTGAACAGTGTATAGAAAGACACTGAGTTTAATGTAAAAAAATTTTTGATCAGGATGAAAAAATGTATACTGTATACAGTTCCTAAAAATATACAGTGCATGAAACATTCCTTATAAGGGGAAGGTTATTAATGTCCAGAGGTACAGTGTTCTTTAGAACAGTGGTTCCCAAAATGTGGTCCACAGAACCTGAAGCAGGACACTTCAGATCTTTCAGGGAGTTTTCCAAATCAAAACTATTTTCATAATAGTACTGAACTGTTATTCATTTTTTTTCACTGTGTTGACAACTGCATTGATGGTGCAAAAGCAACGGTGGGTAAGACTGCCAGTGCTTTAACATCAATCAAGGCAGTGGCACCAAACTGTACTATTTTTCACTGCTACCCATGCACAAGAAAAAACAATAAATAAAAATTCAAGTTTCCCTTAAAAATGTCCTTAACGAAACAATAAAAATAATAATTTTGTTAAATTGCAGCCCCTCAGTACAGGTCTTTTTAATATTGTGTGTGGCAAAATACACATAAAGCACTTCTGCTGCATTCTGAAGTAGGACGACTGTCTGGAGGGAAAGCATTTGTGCAACTGCTTGAATTGTAAGTAGCAGTAGCTGCTTTTTTTCCCACGGAACACCATTTTCACTTGAATAAACTATGACTATTCAGACTTGAGTATTTGACAGACATTTCTCAAGTGAAGAAAGTAAGTCTGACATTTCAAGAAAAATAACTGATAAAGATACCTGTTGCCAATAATAAAAATTCAAGTTTTCAAGCAAAAATTAGAATTTCAGAAAACTTGCATCTACCACCATGTGCTTGATAGCTTCCCAATACTTCAACACTATTTTGAGATTGGTGGTGATATGAATACATATATTTTTTAATATTGTACCGTGAAATGGGTCAAAATTTGCAAGATCTACATTACTCACTGAGCCAGTATTTTCCAAACTATAAAGATGTATCAATATAAGTGTATGCACTTATACATTGAGTATAAGTGTATGCACTTATGCACAAACTATAAGACATATCAGTGAATTTTGATGTAATACAGTTCCAAAAATTCACTGATATGGCTTTAGATTCCACATTGCCACTAATCTTTAAGAAACTACCACTTGTCAAATGATCCAAGAATACCCACAATTGTCTAAAAAGGCTATTAAAATACTTCTTTCTTTTCAAACTGTATGTCTGTGTGAGGCCAGATTTAGTTTATATACTTCAACCAGAACAACACAATGCTACAAGAGACTGAATGCAGAAGCAGATAAGAGAATTCAGCTGTCTTTTATTAAGTCAGACATGAAAGAGATTTACAAAACTATAAAAACAATGACATTCTTCAGATTTTTTTGGTGGAATGGTAAATAGTTATTCTTCATTAGAAAAATGTTATTTATATGAACATGTAATAGGTTTATTGTTATTTTTATATTAATTCATTTATGAGTTTTGACTTATAATACAATAAATATTGTACAATATTTATTATAGTAAATAACTATGTAGTAGATAAAACCCCTATCAACAAAAACTCTTTGGAGACATCAATAATTTTTAAGATTGTATGTAAAGGGGTTCTGAGATCAAAAAGTTTAAGAACTGCTGACAAAGATGTTATTCTGGGGCTTCCCTGGCGGCACAGTGGTTGAGAGTCTGCCTGCCCATGCAAGGGACACGGGTTCGTGCCCCGGTCCGGGAAGATCCTACATGCCGCAGAGAGGCTGGGCCCGTGAGCCATGGCCACTGAGCCTGCACGTCCGGAGCCTGTGCTCCGCAACGGGAGAGGCCACAACAGTGAGAGGCCCGCGTACCGCAAAAAAAAACAAAAAAAACAAAAAAAAAAGATGTTATTCTGGACTAAATTTAAGTTGGTCCAGAAGAAAAAAAGGGTATAAATAACACTGAAATTCACCAAAAAGAGAAATACTATGTGTGATTTTAGGTAAAAGACCAGAGCAAAAGTTTCACATCCATAACCCAGTTCATTGTTAAAAAGATTACCATTTTCACCTATTATATGTACCTATGTGTGAAAGTGTAGAGAAAGGCAGTTGTGGAGCTGGCCAGTAGAATTATAAATTAGTACAAGCTCTTTCTGAATCAACATGTTAATACATTTATAAGCCTTTAAAATGTTTAAGCTCCATGATTCAGTAATTCCCCTTTAGAAATTTTCTTAAATTAAAAAAAAAAGAAAAAAAAATTTGGAGATTACATACAAGGATAGTTACTAGGCATCATATTAAACAGCTAACCTAAGGAATTAAGCTTAAATGAAGAAAATACTTTATGTACAAAGATGGTTATTTAAAAACCTATCCTCATGAAAAACTACAAATAACCTATAAAAAGTTTAGCTCTAAAAATAGCTACTTCTTAGAAAACTATGAGATAACTAATTATGACTGTTATAATGATGTAACAGTGTATAGCATAAAGTTTCAAAGTATTATTAATGTGGGACAATTCTAAGAAATAACATTAAAAGAAAAAAGACAGAAAAATGAATATATTTAACTAGGACTATGTTTTAAAAATCTTATAAATAGAAAAAAAGGTGGAGAAAATAGAGTATCCTCTGACTCTTCCAATTTTATATAATTTTGAAACTTTAAGAATATTTATAAAATTTTAAATATTTCAATAGAAAAAATGTTAACCATGAATAATTTATAACAATGCTGTCAATAGTTTTTCCTAGTAAAAAAGATAAAAACTGGTTTTCAAGTGTTGTTCTTTACTCACTTATAGTCTCTCTCCCAGAATTTCACAGGTCGAACATATGAAGTGATGAATATTGCACTTCCCAGAAAGGGGTTCAGTGGAGTAGAAAAGAAGGCTGATACGGCAGCCTGAACAAACAACATGGCTGAATCTATGGGAAAACTGGTTAAGGACCTTAACATTCATCTGACTGTGCACGCGCGTTCACGCACCTGTGCGCACGGCACACACACACACACACACACACCTCACAAACACATTGCAATTACAGCAATTAGAAAAATGAGGTTCATCAGAGGAATACAGAAGAAGGTGTCACTGGACAGTATAAGGGGTAGAAGCAGAAAGACACAGACAGGAAAGTACAGCCTGGCATGATGCTCTGAAGGGAGCCAAATAAATATTTGCTAACATGTGTCTGGTAAAATTCCATGTATCACTCTTGGGTAGAGATGGTTTTAATTTTCCAGAAGATAAAAACTAAAATTTAAAGATACAAAAGTCTGCATATCAACATCTACAAGGTCACTAACCTTTATGTTTACTTAGAAAGTACCTTTAAGAAAGGATGACAACAGAAAATTTTGACTGTAAGTTTAATTATAATCATATCAATATGGAAAATGTTTTGAATGCTCATTCATTTATAAATATTTCTAAACACATTTTGTATATATTGAAAATTCCTGGACTTTAATACTCACATATATAAACATGAAATTTTTAATCAGCATTACTTAATTATAAAACCTTAATACTTTTCTCATGTTCAGATGATCTGTGGGCCACAGAAGTTAATACAAATTAAACAATCAAAATTGGTATAGGTGTGGGCTCAAAAGTGTGAATTTTTGATAATTTATCATATAGTAACCTATATTCTATGCCTGTGAAAGGTTATGCCTACAAACCAACATTCTCATCAAGGATATGACTGCCCTTTCTTATAAACTTTTATTAGAAGGATACGGGGCACTGCAAAGGGCTGAGCGAAAGCATGGAAAGCAGAACCCCATGTAATCTGCCATGGAGCAATGTAAGTGTATACAAACTGCAACTTATAAAGGAGTTCCCAAAGCTGTAGGAGGAAAACAAAAACAATCAGTAAAAAGCTTACCATCAGATTTTTAAATTAGAAAATGAAAAACTTCTAAAATGATTTTCTTCCTAATAGGGAAATAGCATGGAAATTATTTACCATTTGCATCAAAGGAAAAGAAATACCACTGCCAAAACACTGAATGTGTTTTTAAGTAAAGACAGTTAACTGACTTACGGATTTGTGTTTTATCAGTTTAAAAATTCTATGCTGTCTACTGGTTCTATTACTACTAACAAGCAAAACCAAAAAAAAAAAGAAATCTAGATGTCTGTAAAGCTTAAGCAATAAATATATATTTTTTATTCTGGCATTTCCCTCAAATTTTAGTGCTTTGGAAAATGAGTAAGTTTTAAATGCAATATCAAAAGGAATCTGAAAGCAGCCAGGAAGGGGATAAAGTTGTAATTCAGTTGTCACTGTCTGTTTCCTAAGAATTTACTAGTGTGTATTAGGCATCTGTTCATAATCAGAATTGTTATTGCCAATGGAAGCATAATATACATTTTAATCTTATTTCAATTAGGATCTGCTTTGTTGTTCAACATTTCTTCAACACTGAAACAGAACTATTGTGCCCAAGATTGCCTCTGCATGCTAGGCAATGCAAGGCCCCATTCTCAGAACAGATCACAGAATCTTAAAAGCAAGAGGTTCTGACTAATTCAGTGCCATGATTCAGGCACCAAACACCTCACATTTAAATTTTTTAGCTGATTTACAAATGAACTTGTTTAATTTCCAATTTAAAAAAGAAATCACAACTTTAACCAATCAGAAAATGCAGATGAATCCCTGCACTCTTTGCCATGACTCAAAATTACGCTGGCAACCCGTGGTACTAATGGGATCAGGATGACAGGAAGTAAAAGCATCATGTATACTGTCAGATGCCATTGCAACTGCTTAAAAACAGTGACTCAGAACACTCTTCTGTTTCTAAATGGTAAACAGACTGTACTCAAATTTTGACCGTAATATTAAAGAAAAATGATATGTAATTACATGTTTAAGTGGTTAGTGGGTGAAAATATTTTTGTATACATTCAGAGCAATTTTTTCTTGAAATATTATTAAGGTGGTGGTACACCTTACAATGATATCTTAAAATAAATATATCTAAAGAAATCCCTTGAATATTACTTGCTTATTATCACTGTTAAGTTCTATGAAGTAACCATATAAAATGCAAACTCCTTGCGGGCAGAGCTTTGTTTTGTTAACTAACGTAGCCTAAGCATCTAGAATAGTTCTGGAACGTGGTACACTCTCAAAAACAATTTGCTTAACAAATGAAAGTATTAAGAAAATCCAAACTAATGCGAGTTAAGTGTAGTGACTATTTCAAGGACTGTTTAGTTTATATTTTACTGCAACTTTCACTTTTTTCCAACCGGTATAAGATTCAATACAATTTCCAATCTAAATATTAAATTTGTGAGAAATCGCATGCTTTTTTTATACAGACAATTCTCTGATTAACTTTCTGGCTCCCTCCTTTGATTAATCATGCTCACTAGAAGAGGAAATAAATGATAAAAATGCATACAAATTAGTGATTGAACAAATATAATATTGTGATATTGAGAAGCTATTTAGCATAACATTTAGTACAATATTTAGAAACTATTTCTAAAAGCTTGTTCAGATTAACGGTTTTCATTTTTACTGTCCCCATCCTAGGCCAGACCTCTATCACATCTAAATTACTGTCACAATCTCTTAAGCTGTTCTCCATACCTTTAGGTTCTCTCTTCCCCAATTCATCCCAAATGTGGCTGACCAGGCTAACTTTCCTAAAACTGGGATTTCATTGTGTTTTGTAGCTGCTCATATGCTTCAGCTCTCTGTCACCTATCAAATGGGATAATATATGTCAAAGTCCTTTGTATGTGGTCAGTGTTAACATGAAATCTAAACTATTTAATTTCAAATAATCTGACTACACAACCTATTTCACTTAGAAAGGCAGTGTGGCTCAGCAAGAAGATTCTTGGAGGCAGAAGATGCAGGCTTTACCATCTCGTTTGTAAAAGGACTACAGGCAACTATCACATGAGTGATAACAAATTTTAGGAGCATTCTGTAAACTTCAGTATATTCTGCAAATAAACTAGCATCTCACTGCTCCCACATGGCCTCACTGCCCTCAGTCTCCACCATCTTCATTCAGTATCAGGTTATTTCCTCCCTCCATCTATGAAGCAGCCTACAGTTCGGTTCAATTATTACCATGTTTGTTTCTAAAATTATTCAAAACCACACCCCCTTTTGGAAGAACCCATATATTTATATACTTATTAGAGTTCCTCTAACATATAATTTAATCTTACCTTCCTAGCCACAGCAAGAAATATATCTTCTATGGATGACAGTGACTGGCATTGTTTAGGGATTCTAATCCTAAATAACTCGTTGACTGAAGAAAGATACTACTTAAAAGATAATGAAGCAAATGAAAAGCAAGCGTAATCCTCACTAAATGGCATATTACTTAGGGAGACACTTTTTACAGATAAGGATGTTTCCTTCAGTGATAAATTACCTTGTTGAAGAGTATGGACATGAAGAAGAGATCCAACAGCATGGTCTCTGAAAAAGCTTCATAGTCAATTTTGAAAAAGAGCACAGTAAAGATGACTGTGACATACTGATATGTAGGGCTGCTGAAAGAGGACCGTAGCAGCTTCAGACCAGCAATGGTTATCATTAAAGCACCTAATCTACAGTATAAAGAAAGCACATTCATCAACTGATGACTGAAAATGTTAATCTACAAACTTCAGAAAAATCACCGTTTCATTTACTAAACTTAGAATATATGTATCAAATTTAAACTTCTAAATATTCCTTTTTAAGCATATGTTTCATAATTCTTATCCTTTATATAAATAATCATGTTTAAAAAATAAGTAACACTATTGCAATTCTGACATTCGGTTCTCCAGTTTCTCAGTACTTCTACTGCTTAAACATTAACAGCGTTTAGCACATAAAAAACATATTAATGCTTACCCAACAACATGTACCTAGTGTAGTGGGTAGGCCTACAGGATGATTGTATAGGCAAGTGAACACCTAAATGGTCTGATTCACACAGTACACAAAAATAATCATCTCCAAAACTTACCATCTAATATTACAATTAACCTTATTTAATAAATGTCATCTCATAAAATGTTAGTTTACAATGAGATGTCTGGAGTAGTAATATGCCAAGAGCAGAAACAGATGTTCAGAAAAGGGAAGTCAAAGACAAAATTTCACTTGAATTTTTCACACAGTACTTTGCACCAAAGAGACACTCAATGATTACTTGTTACTAGATCAGTAACTTAAGACATTGCTATGACAGACCCCAAGAGTCAAACTTAGATAAGAGGAGTACTGTACTTACTCTGTATCCAGTTTTTTTGGACTAGCAATTGTCTCTGCACTGCTACTAAGTTCATTGAGAACAATCAATGGATAGATGATATTCTTCTCCACAAAAAGAAGCCACACATGAAGTTTCTCAAACCACATCACAGTAGCTGCGTCTAACAAGGCAATATTAAGTCAAGAAAACCATGTCATCTAATGCATAAAATAGTCTGGTAATGTGATAAGAAAGGAAAATCTTACCACTCAAATTCAGCTGTACTATAAATAATGTAAGTAATCCAGTATGTCAATCAATAGTCAATTTTATGAATTCTGAGACACATCCAACTTTCCAACTTAGATGTTAAATTTAGATGAACTGAATTTCATTTTAAACTTTTATTCTTGAAATCTCAGTTTTTAACCATAACTTTTTCTTATTTATGCCTATAACTTTTGGAGAAAAGATTAGTGAAGATTATTAGACTGCCCCTTTCCCCAAAAAGAAATAAATGATCTATTAAATTATCTGTTTTTAAAATCCTTACATACACATACATCTTATAAGATATACATCTCAGAACAGATATGAAAGTATGTGTTTTGGATTCACACACTTCATAAGTGTCATTTTCACTGCCAGTAATGTTTTCCCAATACTTTAATATTTAATGTCATTGGGGAAAGTGTCTAGGATAAGCTGAAAGATTTAAAATAAGGTCCTCAAGCTATCTGAAAATAATGTCAACCACCTCTAGGAAGTTCTCTAATGAATCAGATTTTTCTTTATAGCTACTACAGTCAACTTTGCTAATGCCTAATACTCTCAATAAGTGAAAAATGTTATGTTGATTCAAAATTTATAAAAATTTAGACTAAATGTTTTGTTAAGATAAAAAACAACATGATCAATGATTTACTTTAATGAAAACTGTTCTTCAAAACAAACTAGATACACCTGCTAACATCTATATATGAAAGCAATTAATCATTAACTATCAAAAATACATCATTCTGAGTTATTTTCCTTATGGTAAGAATAGGCCAGTACAGATTTTTATAGTTTTATGTCATTTTACTACAATCTACACATTAATATTTAATTATCTCTCCAGGATCAAAATAGTGATCAAGATTATAGTACCACGATGACTTAAGCAATTCTGCTAAAAGGCCCAGGAAATATGCTTTGATACTGCAAAGTCAAGTTTGGTGTAGAAATCTTTCAAGAGCTTCAGAGTTCTCTAAAGAAGTTAATTCATCTCCAAACAGTTGAGAAATTGACTCTCTATAGTAACTCATTAACTAAAGAAAAGTCTGAGGAAAAAACATTGGCTTGTTTAATCACTGGTATATAATAATGATGACACAGGTATTAACTTTTATTATATCCCTAAAATGAGGAAGTATATTATAGGTCATGGAACCAATGAACCAGACTGATTACTTTTAACAGAAAAGTCTGGGTTTAAAGTGACAAGTAAAAAGCTTGCCAAATGGATTGGCCTTCTACCTCTTTGTAGTCATTTTATACTTTATCCCAAATCTGAATGAATAATAGCAATTACAAATGTTTTTCACCTCTTTTCTCTTTATCAACTCTTTATAACCCTCTCTGGTAGGACATAGTGTCACTGGTGGAAACAGGAACGAAGACCTTTCTATTCCCTTTATGCTTTGAGTTAAAAATATATCAAATAGAAGTCTTAAAGAGGATTGAGATGCCTGCATATTGCAAGGAAGACTGAGGGTAAAGGTAGGGACTGGAAAGAGAAGTCATAGACATACACTGAAGGATTAATCAATGAGACATCTGTGAAGAACAACTTAGAGGAGGAAAGAGCAAGGTTTATTCTGTGGTAAGTTGGCATTTTAGCACTGACATTTATACTTCAACTGAAATGAAAGCAAAAGGTCTGATTCATTAGTGTCAAACCTAAGAAACACAAGCTGAAGTGTTACTTGATGATACTTACTTGACAGTCACCTGTCAACAAAGTAAAAGAAAAAAATCCATAGTACTGAAAGGAAAAGTGTTAATGAAATACTTACTTCGAACTTCATACTGATTATACTCCACCGTCTTGAGCAGAGGATGAGAGAAGCAGTGCCACGGTAGCTGCTTCGTAACTTGAGGCAGTACGTAATGGGTTACAAAACCCACGAAGCCGACAAGAGCATACAACACATACTTGAGCGCAGGCTAAAAGAAGGATCAAGTTGAGGACATTAAAAGTGATTTTGAGACCCAAAGGAGAACTTCTGACTTGTCAGTTCAATTTTAGTCAACTATAGAATCTAAGAACTAAACATTTGTCTGCAGTTAACATTTCTATATTATGTAATTTTCTGATTAAATCAGCCATAAAAGTTAGTGACTGTTCACGTATTACAGATATTTTAAAATGTGTTAACTACTTTCCTTGGTGTCTCACACTGTCAACGTAATTAGAGTGTGGCCTGAGGTATACTGCTTGCTTCCCTAAGAATGTTCTATGTGACTTGCAGAGCAATGTATTCAATTGTTTTAGCTAGTAGAGATAAAGGACATGAGCTAAATAAAACTGTTAAGTTTGAGTGAAGAGCAAAATAGAATGAGAAAAAAGTTCTTTTTTTGTGGCTTCACATGGTTTGGAAGAGAGTTCTTATGTATGACTAAATTCACAAAACCAAGTACCATCACTTCAAGTATTCAAATTAAGTGTCATACGTTTAGAAACTAAAGAGGTTTCCATCGGACCCCTGAAGACCCACTGGACCTCACTCAGCTTGTGAGGTACTCAGGAGTTAATGGTTCAAATTGGAAGAGAAGAAAACAGGCAAAAATGTTAAAATTAAATAATATAACCATTGCTTCTGGCCAAATGGAATAATAAAGATTTACTCTATTCCATGTGAACCAAAATAGAATAAAATATATGAACCAATGGTTTGCAATATACTAGACATAAGGAAATAATCAGTAAACATTGAGAGAAAGAAAACAGATGAGGCAAGTGTCAGGACTGCCCCAGCTTACTGCCCTTAGATACTTTCCAAGTTTCAGTGAAGGGCGGGGAATCCACATGAAGCCTGGTACCTCCTGAGTTGAGGAGATAGAACTAAAAGCCTGGAGACAGCAAAGCAGCTAGAGCTCACCAGAGCAGACAGTGTTCCAAAGAGAAAACTGCATGGAGAGAGAACTTAGAAGATCTGCGGAGTCTCCCTCGAATATTCAGGGGAATCAGCACATGTGTGTGGGAGGGAACTACATATGCAAAGGGAAGGAACCTCGCCAAGGGATTAGAGAGAAGAGTATCCAGCACTCACACAGGGCTAGGAATAGTCCCTGTTCTCACAAGCCAGGTTGGAAAAACTCAACATTCACAGGGCACTGGTCAGAGTATTCCAAAGCATGTTGCCTCAGTAGGGGGAATATTAGCCCTAAACTAAACAGCCCTAGTCTCAATTAAGCAATCTTAAAAGTTAGATCTGAGGGGATCAAACTGTTAACAAGTAACTTAATAGTGCCAAAAAACAAAGTTCAAGAATATTTCTAGGAATACAAAAATATCCAATACACAAAAGGCAAACCTTATAATGCTTGACATCCAATCAAAAATTACCATGCATGCAAAGAATCAGGAAACTATGACCCATGGGGAAAAAAAATCAATTAATCAAAACCAACCCATAAGTGACACAGAAATTAGAATTATGAGACAAGAACATTAAGAGAGTTAGAAGTGAATTCCATTTGTTCAAAAAAGTGAATAGAGGCATGAGAGATATAAAAAAAAGACCTAAAATCCAACTTCTAAAGATGAAACTTGTTAGTTCTGAGACAAAAAATACACTGGATGGGATTAACTTCAGATTACATATTACAGAAGAAAAGATTAGTGAGCTTAACAACAAAGCAATAGCAAAAGAAAGCATTCAAAATTAAACATGCGGTGGGCGGGGGAGAATTTAAAATGAACAAAGCATCAGTGAACTGTGGGACAAATTCAAGAGGCCAAATATACATGTAACTGGAGTCCATGAGTGGGGGTGGGTGGAGGGACAGCAAAAGGAAAAGGGAAAAAACATTTACAGTAATAATGACCAAAATTTTCTATATCTGATGAAAACTAGACCACAGATGCAATGTACCCCAGACCCAAAAACATGAAGAAAATTACGTGGAGGTGCATCATAATCAAGTTGACACCATGTAGAAATACAGGTCTGCACAAGAGAATGAAGAGACCTGAGGAGGGTAACCGCGTGGCCTGCAGATGCGCAGCACTGTACTGCAGGACCAAACATCGCCCACACCCGGGCCTGATTTAGAGGACGACGTTCTGGACTTCCAGTTGTAGTGGAATGAGACTTTGAGGGGTTTAGAAGGATGTGAATCATGGAAGCCAGAGGGCATATGGTGTCAGTCCAGCACGGTTCCTGGTGTTTATGCCTGCTTGTATTCCCCTCCCACAGTGCAGCAGGGTTGCCCTGTATGACCAATGGATACGGAAGAAGTGGTGGTATCTATGCCACATCCAACATCAGTCATAAAAGACTGGGCCTTCGGTCTTGGGCTTTCTCTCTCTAGGATCGCTGGCTCTGGGGGAAACAGGCTGCCATTTTGTGAGGATATTCAGGCAGCCCCTGGTGAGGACCACATGGAGAAGAACTAAGCTCTCTGGCCAACAGTCAGCAAGGAAGTGAGGCCTGCTAACAGCCTCAGCTGATTGCAGCCACATACGACTGCAGCATCATAACACATGCTGAGCTGGGATCATCTGGCTAAGCCACTCCCAGAGTCACGACCCATGAGAAACCATGAGAAAATAAGTATTTGTTGTTAAAACCAAACAAAAAGTCATATATTTCGGCATTATGGACCAACACTACAATCAAATCAGAAGTGAATCCAAACAAAGTTATTTTCCCCGAGTGAAAAGAATAAAATGATTCCTTACCTGCAATACTGTGAACACTGTGCTTACATGAATAGCAAAATACAGCACACCAATTACAATGCACACTACTAGGTCAGACTGTAAACGCTCGCTCTGTGGAACAAAACAGAATTATCTAACATTACACAAAAATTTAAACAAAATCTTTCCTCCCAAGTGGCCAAGCTTAAGAAATAAATTTTCATTGATCCTATTCTGTAGCACTTCTAGGTTATTTCTTACACATAATAATTAACTACAGTGAGTCTTATTTTCTTCCTCTGTCTCCTCATGTTTTCGTTTGATACTGCAATGCCAAGGAAATTAAGCTAAGCTTAACTAGCTCCACACACAGTAAACATATCATAACAAAGTCTTTTAGAATGAAGATTTTCCCCCCACTGGTCTGTAAGCTTTACATACGGGAAAAAGAAATGAGATATTCAAGTTCTTTTATAGGGTATATCCTTTTGGATAACAAAGTTATATTTTCATTGGCCTTCTGAAATGTTGAAACTGCATGCATATGTCCTGTTTTACTTATTGAATCTTGTTTTTTTTTTATTATTATTATTTATTTATTTTTGTCTGCATTGGCTCTTCATTGCTGCGCGCAGGCTTTCTCTAGTTGCGGGGAGCAGGGACTATCCTTTGTTGCGAGTGCGTGGGCTTCTCATTGCGGTGGCTTCTCTTGTTGCAGAGCACGGGCTCTAGGCACACGGGCTCGCGGGCTCTAGAGCGCGGGCTCAGTAGTTGTGGCGCACGGGCTTAGTTGTTCCGCGGCATGTGGGATCTTCCCGGACCAGGGCTCAAACCCATGTTCCCTGCATTGGCAGGTGGATGCTTAACCACTGCGCTACCAGAAAAGTCCTTACTTACTGAATTTTGGTTCTTTTAGTGGTTGCAGTGAAAACCAGAAACCTCTTGATATCTTTGGTCATCAACTGACCCACAGATTTATGCTTTTAAGCTAATACATTCAGAAATATCCTATTATACTTAACATGAAATGTCCTTTGCTAACATGAAAACTAAAGTCAGAAAAAACTGTTTAAATTATATCTTGAGGCAGTTTTGTATTTTTCTAAAGTTTTCTGAAGAATATATGAACAGCTCAAGTTCAGTGAAGGTAAATATTAGTCTAATTCAAGACCTATATAAATTCAGTCTTTCATAAGTGGAAATATGTAAAATAACTTAGGAAAAAAATGTTTTATGTTTTGTTCCATATGGCAGATATGAATCTGTAGAATTCATTTTTTAAGTAATAACTGAAAGAATGCAGGTAACATTAAAATTTTTTAAATTACTACATCTGCTTGAGTATATGAAATTAGTACAGGTTATTGTTCTCTCCTTCAACCTGGAAAATAAACATACACACACACTTACCCTTGAAAAATAAAACACACTAAAAGACCAGCAGATGACTTATAAAGACACAGTTTTTATCAACAAAAATAACAACAAAATAAATCTAATTTATGCTACTATTCACCTGTCAAATCCTAGTTTAAATTCAATAGGATTAAGAATTCTATAAACAATGAAATCACTTAATCTCACCTTATCTAAAAATAAATATTTAGCATACTGTTCTACATTGAAACAAACTTTGAGGAATGAGCATTTCTTACATGTTAAAATTTGAAATAAAAACCACCAACCATGTACAACTATATACGTATTTTTCCCGTTACTAAAATTGTGTTACCTCCAAAAGTGTTCATTATATAACACTATATAAAATTTAAGTCTTTTAGGTGATTTTAAAAAGCTAAAACTTACAACAGAATTTCTAAGTTTTTCAGGCAGTGGATCTTTTACTTCAGACAACGGGTCTTCCGGATTTTTCTCTTCTGTTTTTGGAAAAATCTTGGATTGCACCAAAGAGCTTTACATTAAAAAAAGACAGAAAATAATTTAAAAATATATTTATAACCTAAAAACCAGTACTTCAAATGGCAAATAAAGTTTATGATAGAAAATGAAGTGATCCAAGTATATTTACTCATTAAGCAAATGACAAATTCTAAAAAGTTTAAGATGCCATAAATAAGCATACAATAAGAATATTTTTATGAAAAATATAGTTTTAAATCTTAGGAGAGAAAAAGCTAACAAATACTTTCAGCCAATGGTAATCAGAATGATCCAAAGTTAATATATTTTGAAATCAAATACAGATAAGTCAATAGCACTTTGACAAGGTATTGGAAAAACAGATTTTGGAAGTTAAATTTGAAAGAAATGCCAACTTATTTAAATTTCTTTAATTCAATAACAAGTAATCTCACTTACAAAAGTACAGATGGATCACTGCTTTGTCGGCTGAGATGATAGGATACTGCCACTAATAAACCACAAAATATGGAGAAAAGCACTGGAATATGCTGCCCATCCCAAGAATCCTGTTGGGGAAAAAAAGTGTGACAGAACAATATGCTTCTAATTCACAATGTATCACATAATCCTTTTATGTCAGTATTTTGGAGAAAGATAATTTAATTAAACAAAACCTTTTCACATGTTATTAATTGCATTTTATTCCACATAAACTTAGATTTATTACTTTCTGATGAACTAGAATCTAACTGCTAGATCATCGTCAGATTTCTTTTGGTACTAAAGCTCTATTATACACTAGGAATAACACATTTGTTTCTGATACATGCTGCTGTCAATTTCTTTCATATTTTAAGTGGTATTAAGTTTACAGTAAACTACATTCTTTTTTTTTTTTTTTTTTTTTTTTTTGCGGTATGCGGGCCTCTGGTGGCCTCTCCCATTGCGGAGCACAGGCTCCGGACGTGCAGGCTCAGCGGCCACGGCTCATGGGCCCAGCTGCTCTGCGGCATGTGGGATCTTCCCGGACTGGGACACGAACCCGTGTCCCCTGCATCGGCAGGCGGACTCTCAACCACTGCGCCACCAGGGAAGCCCCGTTCTTGTTTTTGAAAAACAAAATAACTTGGTGTAGCAAACTTCTGTTACATATAATAATGGAGTAGGAAAAGGCAATACATGATACAACACTTCAGGCAAAACAAACTGTTGACATTTGGTATGCTACTTTCTGGATGCCTCTGCTCATATAAAATGCCATTATGTCCTCCAGAGCACTGAATAGGCATCAGTGTTTCTTGAGTGAATAAACTGTATATTCCCAGAAATAAATAATACAAAGCTAGCTTCTAAGGCCAACCAAACATGTGGATGTGGATATGCCATGTCTGCTTTGCTCACTGCAGTATCTCTGGAGTCGACTAACACGGTACTTGGTACAGGGTAGATAACACTGCTATAAGGAATAGTTAATAGTACTTAAGTATGGCCTGTGAGGTAAGCGCCTTTGTCTTTCTCTGGGGATTCAAGAGGAGAGAATGGCGGAGTGGGTGATCAAATGGTAGTTTATTATACAACCTGCTTTTTTTTCTCATTTAGTAATAGTCTTAGAAATTGCTCCACATCACAACAGAGACCTTTTTTTTAAATGGCTACATCAAAATGTTATCATCATCACTGTATTACGTGTATCGTACTATGTACCGAGCCCCATTCTCAGAGCTTGTAAGTACTTCCTAAATTCTTACAATTATCCTTGGAGATATGTACTATTACTCCCCAATTTATAGATGAGGAAACTAATATACAGATGGTTTAAGTAATTTGTCCAGTTAAGTGGTGGAGCCAGGAACTGAACTTCCTTATATGTTTGAATTTACTGAGAAGAAAGTTAAACGATATGTGAAGAGTTTGAGAATGAAAGAGAGGTAAATACATAAGAAAACAAAGTAAAGGAGAAAACGAAATTTATGTAGGAATAGCATTTGCACAGTGATAGTAAGGTAAACATACCGGGTGTATGAGGGAGACAAGGAAGGCTACGTCTAGTTGAAATGTGTGGGGGGGGGGGGGGAGGTGAAAGAAAGTTAAGCCTACAATTCCATGACGTGCAGTCCATGGATAATGCCTAAACCTCGACAAAATACAAGAAGTGTAAGTTAGTTGCTTAGAGATACGGAAGGAAATATCAAAAGACTCAGCTCAAAGAATTGAAAGTGGTTAACTCTGAGGAAGAAATAACGAGGTAGGGGATTGCTGTCCCTGGCACTAAGTCTTGTAGAAATATTTGACTCTTTAAAAGATAACTATGTGCAACTCTGGTAAAAATGAAAACTGAAAAAAAAGATGTGCAGTACAACCACTCTGGAAAACTGGCAATTCAGTTTTAGTTATCTACCCAAGAAACATGAAAACATATATCCACAAAAAAAGACCTGCACAAGAACGTTCATAGCAGCCTTATTCATAATAGCCCTAAATTAGAAACAACCCAGATGTTCATCTCTAAGACAGTAGATAAACTGTGACATATTCATACAATGGAAATAAGGAGGATTTAAAACTAAATGGGATACTTCTCTGCAACAAAAAGGAACAAACTACTGATACACATAATGTAGATGAATATCAAAAACATTATATGAACACAACACATCAGTTACAAAAGAGTAAATATGGCATGGTTCCATTTATACGAAGCTCAAGAACCGCAAACCTATAATAAAATAAAAGCGGCTGGGGCAGAGCGACTCGGAAGGAACAAGAGGGAACTTTCTGATGGTGATGAAACTATTTTGTATCTTGCTAGGGGTGTATATTACACAGGTATATGCATTTGTCACAACTTATCAAAGTGTGTACTTAAGATAGGTGGAATTCACTGTGTATAAATTTTGCCTCAAAACAAGTATCTGAAAATAAACCAAAAGATGCTTGCATTTATTTAACAAATGCTTGACACTACTTTTTATTGCTCTCAGGCAAAAAAAAATCCTTAAATTGGTCTCAAATGACTTATTTTATTTACATTAATAATTTAGAATAATATGCAATAAAATGATTAAAGATGGATTTGTTCTACACACTGTATTGGGTCTGAACGTTTTCACTTCATTACATAATGGCCCAAATTCTGGCAATCTCTTAAAAATATGTAAGCATCTAGAAAGTATATACATAAAAAACAGGAGGTACTAAAGCTGTCTTAGAGGAATAATGTTAACTTTTAATAAGCTTTAAAGTTCAAGGAAAAACAAAACGTAAACAAAACAAAAAAGCAGAAATCAGAAATAACAGATGTAAAAGTCTACATTAGTGAATAGATAAAAAAATTAAACCATTCCTAAAGGCATGCAATAATGTTCCCCAATGAGCCTAACTGTCCAGAAGTAACTTCTATTGCCAATTTCTTGTGTATTCTTCCATAAATGCTCTATGTATATACAAGCCATCAGGTGTGCTTTTTTTAAAAAAAGGCACAAAGGAAACATCTATTTTTTGGCATATTGCCTTCCTTTATATTAAAACACAAACACACACACACACACACACACACACACACACAGGAATATTATTCAACCTTAAAAAAGGAAATTTTGTCACCTGCAACAACATGGATAAAACTGGAGGGCATTATGCTAAGTAAAATAAGCCAGACAGAGAATGACAAATACTGCACATTATCACTCATATGTGGGGGGAAAAAGTCAAACTCATAAAAACAGAGAATAGAAAAGTGGTTGTCAGGGACTGGGAGGTGGGGGAAACAGGGAAAGGTTGGTAAAAGGGTACAAACTTTCAGTTATAAGATAAAGTTTAGGTACGGCATGGGCAAATAGGTAAAGAGGGTCAAAAGGCACAAACTTCCAGTTTTGTTTAATATTTATTTATTTATTTATTTGGCTGTGTCGGGTCTTAGTTGCAGCATGCGGGATCTTTTTTTAATTGTGGCATGTGAACTCTTAGTTGCGGCATGTGGGATCTAGTTCACTGACCAGGAATCGAACCTGGGCTCCCTGCATTTGGGAGCGTGGAGTCTTACCCACGGGACCACCAGGGAAGTCCCAAACTTCCGGTTTTAAGATAAGTAAGTTCTGGGGAGGTAACGTACAGCACAGTGACTACAGTTAATAATAATGTATGCATATTTCAAAGGTGTTAAGAGAACAGATCTTAAAAGTTCTCAACGCAAGAAAAAATATTTGTAACTATGTATGGTGACAGCTGTTAATTGGATTTATTGTGGTGCTTGTTTTGCAATATATACAAATCTTGAATCATTAGCTGAAACTAATATAATGTATATGTCAATTATACCTCAATAAAAATTAAAACAATAAACTTAGAATTTTTTTTTAAAAGATGAATAAGTTCTGAGGAGCTAATATGTAACACAGTGACTATAGTTGATAACACTGAACTGTAGAACTGAAATTTGCTAAGAGTACAATTTAAATGTGCTCACCAAAAAAAAAGGTAAATATGTGAGGTGATAAATGTGTTAACTTGTCAGGAGGAATCCTTTCACAATGTATCCGTATATCAAATCATCATACTGTACACTTTAAATATCTTACATTTTTGTCAATTACATTTCAATACAGCTTGATAAAAAAGAAACAAATTGTATGTCTTGGAAATCATTCCACATTTGCAGATAAAAAATCTATTTTGGGACTTCCCTGGTGGTCCAGTGGCTAAGACTCTGACTAGTCTAGGACTGAACTAGGAGTTCACATGCTGCAATTAAAAGATCCTGCATGCCACAATGAAGATCCTACATGCGGCAATGAAGATCCCGTGTGCCACAACTAAGACCTGGTGCAGCCAAATAAATAAATAAATAAATAGGAATAGATAGATAAATAAATAATTTTAAAGTCTGTTTTTATTCTTTTTCGTGGCTGTATAGTATTCCAGTGTAAGGCTATACCATATTTGATTTAAACAGTCACAAACAACAAATACTAGGTCGTTTACAGTTTTTGCTGTTACAACACTGCTATGATGAAATCTCTGCACATAGTCTTTGCTCATTTATATAAGTACATCTGCACATTTATTCTATTACAATGGGGAATGCCTAAAACTAAAACAGTCTAATGTAAATGCCATGGCCAAGAAAGAAGGAAAAAAAAACATGCCTGTCTTAGGACACATCCCTGCCTGTCTTAAGACACAAGGTTCTAGTTGGCAGTTTTACAATTGCTGCTCTTCTGCTACATAATTATAGTTAAATAGGCCTTTAGAAAATTAGAAAACTTACTGCATTGTTAACTTCTATGACTACAACTTCCAAATAATGCCCCACTTTCCAAAACATGTTCTCCAAACATAGATCTAAAACTTTTATACCAGGATGGTTTATAGGTAGTGTAGCTGGGAGAAGCTTGGATTTGGATCTCATTACCTCCAGTTCCTTCCTGGGCTTAATGTCATCAAGTATCTCCCTCTCTGATCAATTTTCCATCTCCCATTTTAAATGCAATCAAGGCTCAGATCTTTTTTAAAAAACAAAACCCAGAAAACAATCCTCATCATGTGCACAGGTTTCCCGACTATACTCTAGAGAGAGTAGAATACGTTTCCTTAATATCTATTCAGACCTAAACTTATATTAATCTAGCTTCCTCAGCCAAAACACCAAAAAAGCTGTTTTGTTAAAGTCACCAATATCCTATTAACTGCCAAATTCAACAAATTCTTTTTCACACTGTATTGCTTCTGAAGTTTCCTTTGTTGGATTCTGTTCCATCTACTGCTTAAATATTGGCATTTCCCAGGGTTCTATCTGCAGCCTGCCAACCCAGGCTAGCAGTCTTTTTCTTATACTTTAATTTGTTGATGATTTCTAAATCTTTTCATCATTACTGCAAATAACTACCCACTATGTATCTCTGGATACCCCATTAATGCCAACAAATAAAAGTGTCTAAATGTAAACAATCACCTTCCCCAGTAAACTCAAAGATTTCCAATCATGTGCATTAATATCACTATCTAACCAGATGTTCAAGCCAGCCCCTACCCAGAAGTCATCCTGGATCCTACTCTTGCTCTTTTCATCCACAGAGTTCCCAAATATATTCACTGAATCCAATTTTCATTAAGTCCCTGATACTTCCTGCTTATATTTCAGTCTCCTTCACACTGGGGACCAGGTAATCTTTCTAAAATGCAACACTGATCATTTCCTTGCCTTACCTCGAATATTTGGTGGTCTTCCATCTCCACCCAATACGTTCAGGATAAAAGATATTTCATAATCCAGCCGTTGCTTACCTTTCCAGCCTTACTGTAGGCCATCTTTCCTCATGTACCCAAATTTCCAGCAATTCCAAATTATTTGCTGTTTCCTGTACATAACACACTTTCTTTACAACTCCATGGCTCTTCATCCCTTGTTTCAACTAGCTATTTCCTATTGTTCTTCAAATTTTGGTTAAAAAACCACCCCCTAGGAAAATCATCTTTAATCCCTTTAGGCTGAATAGGGTAATATCTTAATTTGTATACCTGTAACACTCTGTTTTCATAGCCTTCATCACCCTCTATTAAGAGCATCGACTGACTTGTTAATCACAGTTAACATATAGGCAAATTAAAAGCAGAACTAGGCACACAGTAAGCACAGTAAATTCTACTGAGTAAGTGAAGCAAGGAAGGATGCTATGAGTCACTTTTCATAGCCCTTTCAACCCTATCATTCTCTGATTATCTTGTATTAATCATAAAAAAATAAAATACCAGGAGCTGAGAGTTGTTTATGAGAAATCTACAATTTTTACAGTTATAATTTGGTGACAATTGTTTTAAAATGGAACTAATAAGGCTCATCCAGATTCTTCTAAACCAATAATGACATTAAATTTCAGTGCGTTAATTTTTACTAGACTGTATTTTAAATTGCAGTCCTTGAACAACTTCTCCTAAGTTTTAAAAAATCTTGATGTGAAGAGTAGTTACATATATTCTTAAGTAGAAACCTAAAATTAATTTCATATTCTGTTATTACTATGCCCACCTCTATCCCAGACCAGCCTAGTTTTTACTAATCTGTTTCTAATATTAACCTATGATTACTACATGGAAAAGGATTTTCCTTTAGTAATGATTAACTATGAAATTGCTTTCAAATTCAAACTAAATGAGAATAAGAATAATGTTCAACATAGGAAGACCATGAAAATTAATGCTGAAGAGATACCAGGAAAAAAATCATTAGTTAATTTAAAACAATCTTCATATAGAAAAGTAGCCTTAAAGACACAACATACTACATGTATTGCTCACCTTTAAGGCGCCGTAACACAATCCATATAGTAAGGCTACTGCCACAATGCTACAGATGAAACTGTAAAGTGCTGCAAGCAGGCTTGTAGTGGCTAGACAGGAAAGGGAAAATGAAATCAACATGTATAAACACTTATGGAGAAAACATACTTTAAAAGGTCACTGGAAAGTATTTAAAATGGTATGCTATTAACTATAATTAAATATCTACTTGTTTGATTTATAAAAATTCAGTTTCTTCATCCTGTCCTTTCAAAAAATTTTGAGGACTTTCCTGGTGGCACAGTGGTTAAGATTCCGCCTGCCAATGCAGCAGATACGGGTTCGAGCCTTGGTTTGGGAAGACCCCACATGCCACGGAGCAACTAAGCCCGTGTGCCACAACTACTAAGCCTGCGCTCTAGAGCCCGCGAGCCACAACTACTGAGCCCATGTGCCACAACTACTGAAGCCCATGTGCCTAGAGCCCATGCTCCACAACGAGAAGCCACCGCAATGAGAAGCACGCGCACCACAACGAAAAGTAGCCCCCGCTCACCGCAACTAGAGAAAGCCCGCGCGCAGCAACGAAGACCAGCGCAGCCAAAAATAAAATAAATAAATTTATATAAAAAAAATTGAAACGACAAAGGTTTACTATCAACAATTTCTGATACAAGGTAAAATATATTCCCCTTGGAAGTAATAAACATTTACCTACAGCAGAAAAAAACTGTACCTATATTATGCTTCAAGAATATATCTTATTATTTATAAAAGTATGGGAAAATGAAGCTTGCAGAGCCTGAAAAGAAGCTAGAAATGTATTATGTAGACTGTCTATATAAACAGAACTTGTGTTACCCACAGAAATAAATGTATATTTCCATGTGTTAATCAATTCTCACCAAAGAGTAATGATCTAACTGCTAACAATGACAAAAAATAGATCTAATGGGATTACTAATAATAAGAAATAGAGGATGGCTAAGATAACAGACTTTAATAGTAATTTTATATGGCGACCATAAGAGAACTCTACAAGAAAAATTTTTCTTTAGGAGATATTAAAAACCTAACACCTTGCACAAGTTTGTAAATTATGACGAAGCCCACTATTATAGATTACCTACACTAAACCTTCTGCATAGTATTTAGATTAATATAGCACCTATAATAGTCCCCTAAATACTGAAATTGTTTTCTACCCATTAAGCTATGCTGAAGCCCAGCCCAGCCTTAATTCACACTCCTTCAAATTTTCAAAACAATAAAAATGCTCTAGATACATAGTGACATAGAAGAAGCTTAGCTTCTATTTAAAATTTAAACCATAATATCAACATTTTATCAGTAGAGATAATTTCAATGCATATACTTGGAAGATGTGGGCTGCAAATGTGAAGTATAAATAGAAATAAACTGTAAAGTTCAGTCATTTCTTTCCCTTTCATATTTTTTTCTATAGTTGTACACTCATCTTTCAATAAGATGTTAGATGGTTAAACTTTATAAATAAGGGTATATTTTAACCATGGTGGCTGCCCAAAGTGTTATTTTTAAGTTCTGCAAAACATTATTCCAGGGTAATTTTGGTATAGTCTTACTTATTTTGAAAATAAAATGTACATGTAACAGGGAATACATTTCTAAGTATATCAATTCATATCCACATATCGTACTCTAAAAACAGAGATATTTCTAAAAATCTTATTCAGTAAAATGCTTTTACTAAAAGCATTCTGGTTTTGCTGTTCCCATTCTAAAGATAAAACAAAGCTCTAAAACCAAATATATAGAATATCAAATGCATACACTAGTTCAAAAGCTAAATATAATGCCATGTATCAGAGCTCAATCTATTCGATCTTTTATAAATATTTCGTTAAGTCTATTCAGGTTCCACGTAAACTCACTATAACTTTTACTTTAAGATGACAGTATTTTAACACTTACAAATCAACTCCATTATCCCTGGATCTTTCCCT